ATAATATTATATATTATTTGTAAGACCCCTTTTTGATTCATACACAATTAATCTTTACGAATGACGTGTCGTTTGGAAGATCAATTTTTGTGTTTTTGACACATGGTTATTACACTGTTTTACATCATATTATTTAATTTTTATATAAAATGATTTACAAAGGCCCCCCGCCTGTTTAATCCTATATAACTCCATGAAATGATACATCCGCCCTCAAAATGTCTCAGAGGTCCTGAGAGTAATGCTCTCTCGGACATAATCTACAAAATGGACCTCCCTGCTTCTAATATTTCATCTTGGGGGTATCTTGTGAAACCTACTCCGCGAAACGCGTGGTTATCGATTATATAATCGCGAATTCGTTGTAGAATTAAATTGAGTGACATTCCGTCCAATTTATACTCTCAGGAACATGCGCCTATTCAGAATTTGTGTTGAGAATGGGACATATATAGAAAGGGCAAGAAGGTTTTACAATATTTACATTGATTTATAAAGATGCTTATACATACGTGTAATGTTTTCTTTAATGTATTTTCTTCACATTTTATTTAATAAATTGATCGAGATTTAGAGGGGGTAAGAAGTTTTAACAATATATACTTTATTCACACATGTGTTGTTTTCAATAAAACCCTAATGTATTTTACCGAAATCTTATTTAATACATTTTATGTTTATATTATGTTTATGTTATGTTTATATTATTATGTTTGTATGTTATGTTATATTATGTTATGTTAATGTTCGCCTATCGTACGCAGCGAATCACTGAGAATGGGAATCCAGTCCGAATGAGAAAAGTCAAAATAAACAATGAAACATTTGCGTTATTCAGTCAAAATAAAAACTATTCATTATTTTTGGACTTTTACCGAATTTCTAAGCATGAACAAAACCATAGAGACCTTTCATATGGCCAGAGATTGTGTAGTTTCCTTTAAATTTCTGCGCGCATTAGAAATTAAATCTAGACGAGTTGCTTGCAGCAGAAAAGTGTGAGGAAAATACAGTCAAAAAGTGGCTATTCTGAGCAACATAAATTGGCTGATGTTAAACGGCACGTCAGCTGTATCTGCGTAGTGGCTCACTGAGAATATGAATATAGTCTCGACATGTAGGATAAGAAATCGCCAAATAACGTAATCAAATATTTGCATTTTCAGTCAAAAAGTCAGTATCTTCCTTTTTTTTATTTCCCTAAATACCTAGGTATCTAACATAACCATAGTCACCTCTCGCATGCCCAGACTGCTTAATTTTCCGTCACTTTGTGTGGATCTTAGAGAGAGGGAGAGAGTGAGGGAGAGAGAGGGAGAGAGAGGAGAGAGAGGAGAGAGAGAGAGAGAGGGATAGAGAGAATAAAAAATTCCGCTTAACCCGAAAAAAAATTATTTGAAAGATATTCAGTCCTAATTATTTCGGATGAACAGGATTCTAATGTAATATAATTATTAATGAAAATGTTTCAATTCACGAGATTTTGTTTTTAATAAGCTAGTGCATGTACAGTTTTCAAATCGATTACTATGTAATCTTTTAATGGATAACAGGGCATCTGAATTGACTAAAATTACACCATAAATCTTATCGAAGAGATTGGAACAAATTATTTAATTAATGGTTTCCATTTACATTAAAACTCAATTTGGTAAATGGCTAAAAAAGCCTACGATGAAGACGTATGACTCTTATGCTTCAGAGTCACGTGCATTCCAGTTTCGTCCGGAAATCAATTTTGCAATTAGATAGTATATTTTCATAATCGAATCTCGTATAATTATATGCAAGCAACATCATATTTCATCCTTACAAGGATGAGTTCTTAGGTAACACAAGGGTCCGTAAAATTTTCATGTGGTATGATTATCCTTTACAAGTCTTATAAGTTTGGCTTCATAGACGATTCATACAGCAGTAAAAAGAAAAAAGAAAAGGTATATTATCGACATTGGAATTTTGACGCACCGTCCATTGTCCCCTAGCACTGATCAACGTGCCATAATTACGAAGAATAAGCTTCGCTTTTGTCGTGGTTATTCCTTCCCAGCATCTCTCGCACGAGGCAGCTCTCGCGGTGCCCTCGCTCCTCGCCACGCAGGTGCCGCGGGCGGTCTTCCGTGATAGCGATCGGCGGGCGGGCCGACCGGTTCCCGTGGCTTCCCAGCGCTTCCTTTGGCAGCGCTTATCAGCCTCGTTACGAGAGATCTGTTTCCAGATCGTAGATTTGTTCATCTCGAGTGATCGTGCCCTACGGGACGAATCGGAATCGACGTTGTAAATCGACTTCTTGACAACTATATGCATTTGAGCCGTCCTCCGCCAATGTTGCTGGTGGGTGGCCGCCTCTATTATCTTCATATAATTTATCTTCAACGTGCCGGACTCCAATTTTGCTATCGCTTAGATTTATCTTCTTAAAATTCGCACACATTAACCACTTCTTATTGTAATGGGAGATCGTTTATCGCTTCACATTCAAATTTGTGAAATCTGTACCCTTATTTGAATACTTCACTGATTTTCCTCTTATGCTTTCACCCCTGTTATCATCATACTGCCTCCATTTCATCTCGTTAATCTATGCCGACTGTTTCTCTCACTTTCTTGTCCCACTAATGTATTTTCCTCCTTCCTCCAGTTCTGCTTTTCCCATGTCCATGACCAAAACTTAGCTATGCTATCTGATTATTTATTAATATTGGGATAACAGGCTTCGTATCTATAATTCACACTTTCTGTACCACATTGCGCTACTCCTGATTCGCAGAACCCATCCATAAACCAAGTAACTAGATGTTAGCTTCATACTCCTCCTTTATGATCACTATTCCGTTTAGTTACCACTTCACTCGCTCCCTTAGAGTAACGAGCGTACACTTAATGCGGCGGTTCTCCGAAGCTGACTCCCAACGTCATCACTTCTTCCTTCGACACTACAGCCATCAGCAGCTCTGATCATTTCCAGACGCTACCCGTTTGGGATCAAATGAATTCCCTTTGAATCTTATCAAGTATGCAATTTCCGTCGAATTTTCGACCTGAAAACATTTCCTCGCTTCGATGTCTCAGATTCGCCCAAGATACGTGATACGATTACCAACCTTAATTTTACAACTTGCACACGTAAATGATGGTTAAAACGGCTAAAATATATAATGTTAGAAAGTTGTATCTAATTACATTAGGGAACAAAACCTCTTTTTCAGACCTCCAGGATGAAAGAAGGTGATTTCAAAGGAAACAAAGACGCTGATTTTGAATATTATTATAAAACGTTCTATCACGCAAGGTATTCAAGGTATATACGTATTTAGTATTTGAAACAAACAAATTCCTATACTAATTTCCACATCGTCAGTCCAGTTACATTACTACAAAATTTTATAAGCATGCTTCATACGAGGTAAGAACAAGTTAAAAATGGAATACGCATATTCGTGCAATATTATGCAAACAGAATTGTTTGTTGATATTCTCCACAAAATTGGTAGAGCGAATGACAATGATTTGCGTTTTCCCTACAGCCACAACCTAAGGTTCAGTGTACAGGTGACACAACACTGGTGAGCAGCTCATGGTTGGTGCTAATCACAAACACGACAGCCAAAGTATAAAGATTATGCAAGTTTTGTGATTACCAATATAATATAATATATAATATATATATTATATATATATATATATATATATATATATATAATAATATATTATTTTCCCTTTGAAGTTTGGATATAAATCACTATCCAGAAACATAACTGTTAGTTACGTTTGGTTGTTTTTACGTAAGTTACCGGGTTGATTGGCACACTTTCAATGTGAAATGATTTGCATTTTATCGAACCGATTCATTCTACAGATCATGTGACGAATTTCACTTTATAAAAACTATAGAACTATAATGTAAATGCATTTGAAGCACACGCAAACCAGACACGAACTTCACGCGCACTGCGGGTACAGTTCCACATGACACCGACCGACCCAGAATCTGCCACCCCAACAGTTGGATACTTGTATACTTGCGATAAGGTAAGGGACTAAAATACGATGACTGATGCGCAGTAGGAAACATGAGGAAGCACGTGACTTGTTTTCAAAACATCCACTAAGACCTACTACGGCTACTAAGACCTACTACGGCTACTAAGACCTACTACGGCTACTAAGACCTACTATGGCTACTAAGACCTACTACGACTACTAAGACCTACTACGACTACTAAGTCTTGTAATTGAGCGCGACTACGAGACCCGAGAAAAAAATGACACTTTTTGAATACAGGAGGTAAATAAATACGAAAGCTTAATTTTGTTGATATCTCATGAATGTGGTGTAGATGAACTGAACACATATTTTATTTTTAAATAGATTTTAAGCGTATTGATTCCATATATATCTCACAGCCTCCAAGAACTATTTAAAAGTATTTGCATTAAAAGTAAAATACGGTATAGTTAAAAACTGTGGCATATCAGATTTTTAATGTGATATTCGTAATCTACGAATGTGTATGTTGCGCACATTACCTTCCTGGAGGTAAATATCTTGGTCCCTAGTGTTGTTGCTGTTGTTGTTGTTGTTGTTAATATTATTATTATTATTATTACAATTATCATTGTTGAAGTCACTTAAATAGTTAATTGTCGTAAATACCGAGATAAATAATGGCCCAGGCCACAAAATATTTCTCATGTTCTACTAATGTTTTGAAGACATTGGCAAAAACATTAAAGCATTTAAAACCCTTGTATTTAACGGGCTAGACATTCCGTGAAAGGGCAGGGGCACGTGAATTCGACATTGACATATGTTTGTTATGAGTGCTTCACAGGCGTAGTGGGTCGGCGCCGCCGCCGGGGGGGCGGGGTCGCCGGGGGCGGCTGCTGCCGCTGCTGCGCCGAGCCCAGTTGCGTCCGCGGCGCCGTCGAGTCAAGTTGCTCTGGCAATCGCGTGCGGTCTCTGCCCGGGCATCCCAAACACGCTGGTGTCAACTTGGCGGAAGGAACCGTCTTCGAAACAAGTTACTGTGAAAAGTGCATACTCCCGAAAAATGTGCACCGTTCAGATTTTCATGTCGTTATTTGTGTTCTGTGTGTAGTCAACGTCACAATTTATTAAGTGCTCCATGTGCGTATAAAATTCTACAGATGTGCTGTTAGAAATGAGCAATGTATAAAAAAGTATAAACTTAAGAATTTCGAACAAATTCCATTTGGAATCGTTGTTTTCTGAGAATATTTATCGGGTAATAGGAAGTGGAGGCTACAATTTAAGGACAGCATGCACTAAAAATATTCAAGTGTAGCTGGCTCCAAATAAGACTAAACATCTTAAGTGCGTTACAACGTCCATTATCTATGAGAAGTGTTGATACAAGAAGAGGATTTCAGAAGCTGACGACAGCATGTCTCTCTTCTACGGTGGACGCGTCGTGTGCATGCTGGTGGTCGCAGCGCTGTCTGTTGCAGGTAACAGGTTTGATGACGATAAAGAAATGATATGTCAAAACGTATGTCATGTTATATTCTTGGTCACGCCCCTCCATTCTTTTCTGGTCTTATCATCGTTCAACAAGAACCCCCGTTAGCTTAAAGCTCCACGCTTCCAAAAAGAGCCTGATGACAGGGCGCATTGTTCGCCCAGTGGATTCCAAGTGGCCAGCGCTCTCACGGGAGGCTTAACGGAGAGCTGGACCTGGAGTGTAAAAGACGCCAATAAAAGTACATTATTACGGAATAACGGCGCATCGTATAAAAGAACCGACTGCTCTGATCCTAATTAAATGCGCAGCTATCTTGTAAGATCTCCATTTGAGCCTAAGCCGAGGTGGGTGGAATGCTCTGTCACGTGATTTCCATCCTAACACTCACTCCCGCACGCGGAGCTGCCGGGGAAGCACACGTGTTGTAGGCTGAGAAACAGGTTTGCTTTGGGGAATGGTTGCTTTTTTATCTCTGCCTAGTTGGTCAGAGAATGTAAACCTTTCGAGATGTCGATAGATTGTGTCATCCTTCGTAAATTGTACATTTTATTTGGTTGTATGTTTTGAAATTGTTTTGTTTTAATTAATAAGCAGCGGTCTATGTAGTTCGAAAGAAAGAGCTGCCAACTTCTAAGATCTTTGGTTGCTGGGTTTGAATAAACATAGTTGTAGTTGATAAAAGATAAATAAGCCAATAGAGCTTTTAGCCATAAATATTCGGCATACAATATCAATTAAACTAACGTTTGTTAAATAGATGGGGGATTTCTATCCGCACATTAAAAAAATAATACTTTAAAATAGAAGAAAAAGTAGTTAAGATAACAATGTTATTCGCCTTGCATTACTCAAGTAGCTTGCCAATAATGAATATTCATTTCGGGGTTTTCGAATGCAGTGACTTTTCATTGCACAAATTCCTCCAATAAATACGCATTGAAATAAAGAAAGTTATGAACATTGTTTCCCGAATACAATAAATAGCACTTTCGTCCTTTGGTGCATTTACAACATGCTAGAAAATATTGGTATTGAAGATAAAAATAAATATACTATTAGCAAATGAAAGAATTCTTCCCACAAATATTTATTAGTTGGGGGAATTTTGTGTAAAGTGGTTATAATATAAAAATGGACTCGTTTTGTTTTTCGACTAGTGACTCGATTTGCTTTTCTTGAAAGGGGTGTGTCTGCAAATAAGGTATTTTAAAAATGATTTACATTTCATAGGAACTTAACAAATATGGCTTGAACGCTTTGGCGTTACATTGGGGCAGCAAGGTCCACAATGCTGGCCCAGGTGTTAGAGAGCCTATTTTTAGGCTGAAGGTTTTGCGATTGTAAGAATTACTAGAGTAAGGTTTTGAGATTGTCTATGTAGTACTTATAGACTGAATATGAATTTGTTAAAGAACAGTTTTATTATTTAAGATAGTGACCCTACTTGTGTTTGCTATATTACTAGTCATAAAGGGGGCCCGGATAAAAGTTTTGAGGACAGGCCCGCACTCATTTCGTTACGCTACTGCATAAAAGCAAAACTCCTAAGATGTTTACAGCATGAAACCTAAGGTCACGTAGATGTCTAGCAAAATCAAGGACAACCATTTGGCATTGCCTCCAGCATTTGAACAGTCTTTGACGTTCGCAGGTCAGAGTGCATCGCAGACGCGCCGCCGAAGCGCTATGCCGGGAACTGGCGAGATCGAATCCATGGCCAATTTCGCATTAACGGTACGTGCGGATTCTTCATGGTTTTGCATTAACATACATGAAATAAAAACAGTGGATTGTTATGCATGTTATTTTCTAGAAGATACTATCTTAAACGTCACATTAATCACATGTTCATTTAATTTGGCATGTTCCTATAATAATCATAAATAAAAGCATGATGAAGACACAATAGCTTAAAAATTAGGGGGATTTTTTGTAGAAATGAAAATTATTTTCGGTTGTATAGTGTTTCAAACATCGCAGAATCAAAATATAATAAGTAGTCTTGCCTTAACTCAATGGAACAGAAAATGCGAAGCAACGAAAACAAACAAGAAAGAAAAAAAGCTAGTGTGTCAATTGACATACTTCTACACTTAACAAACAAATTAAAAATCCAAGAAATCCTAAAAATAACAAATAAAAATGTATTTCTAATATTTAATTTGGGTATCCTCTTGGTTTCATAACAGTATGGTATCTTTGGTGCATATATCTAACGAGGTTACTGTAAGTTTGAGGCGTGATGGTTATCCATTCTTCTGGTAGGTTTTTTTTAAAATTTTTTTTTCAGATCTTATTTGCAGAACTCACGCTTTACGAACTCTACTTTGCGAGCTTTCCTTTCCAAAATTGCCTACAGGTGTTCGATTGGGTTCAAGTCTGAAGATTGTGCTGGCGTTTTTAGTTGTTTGGGAACATCCCATATTAACCATTTCTTATTAATTCGTGCAGTACGCCTGCTAGCATTCTCATGTTGGAACATGTAAATTGTTGGCATACCCAATTACACAGCACTTTGCATCAAATTCCGTTTCCGGATGTTGTTTATAATATGTTATGTTTGTTCATAATGCCTTTTATGAAATGAACATTTCACACTCCTCTTCTCGATATACAACAGAGGGTTCGGCAGTATCGAAAATACTTGCATTTAAAATAAGTATTTTCGATACTTTTGCTATTTGTATTTTGTATCGAACATACATAATTGAACATGTAGTTTTTATTTGTCTCGAAAACACTTTCTGTTAGTATTTTATATTTTCGAAATACAAAAATAAGTTTTATTGATACGAAATTGAAATTTTGAATTTAAACACAGTCAAAGCTGGAAAACACAAACGTCGATAACACAAATTTTTGATGTTTCGAAGCCTTTTTCATTCCCTGCAGCAGTATTTTAAAGAACGTTTTTGCTAACACAAAATTTTGGATAATTAGAAAAAATGTATTACCGGAGGCAAGTAGAGATATCGATTTTGGAGACGTTATATTAATGTATCACCTATCTGGAAGGTGGTTGCTTGCACTGGTTGCTTGCACCGTGTAAAGAGGTACTTTTGTGAGTGGAAATTGATAAATCATTAAAATGTGCTACTCTATATGAAATTTATTCAATTTTTATTGAAGAGTTAGGTGCAAAAGTCATCATGTGACATTTGTAAGACTGCCAAACAGACAATACTAAGTGGTTCCTACAATTCGACCACAAACTTTAATACACACTTAAAACTGAAAATAATAAGCAGTAATATAATAAATTTTAAAATGCACACCATGGTGTACAACAGACTGTGAATTTCACTGGTCATTTATTCTATTAGGAACTGATCATTTCTTTACACTTATAGATAATTCGTCTTCGTGTGATGAGTGAATTTGACAACTCTAAAAATTAGTGGTCCAGGAAATAAAATTCACATAGGCATAACTGAGAATAGAGACACTAATGCCAAGAAGTTAAAACAAACAACCTTAACCTATGCTTTCTTCAATACGTGGAAACTACTAACTAAGTACTACTAACTAACTAGGTCAAAAACTTCAATACGTGGAAACTCCTAACTTGATTCTACGAACATTAATAGAACACACTGCAGTGTAAATTGTTTATTCACGATATTTTTCTCGATTGAAAATGTAATAATAAATGGATATAAACTGAATTTATTTTTTATGAATTTAAAGGATCGATCTTCATTAAACCAATATGAACGAGGCTGTGAAATAGACGAAATGAATTCTCACTAAAAATTATCCAATTTATTGTGAATGCAGTGTGTAGAAAATATGCGTTGTTTTGTCTTTTCTTTACCAAGATATTAAACTTTCATTTTAATAAAGTATAATTTAATAATCCTTCTATTGAGGGTACTACATTGTATCTCATTTTTCACTACCTTCGCCTTATTATTTCGTCCGTTTAAAAATTTTCCTCTGAAGTTGGAAGTGAAGGTCGTTGATTTATCAGGTTGAAGATTTATTTTCCTGCCGTACTTTTCTTTGAGGCAGATGCAACTGTAAAGACATTTCTTAATTTCCCGCATGATTGCCCTTGAAGACATGTAGATAAATCTTTCAACAGGTCTATCTAGAGAACACTATAGAAATGAATGAATAATTTCTCCTTCTTTTTTAATAATTTACTTTAAACGATGTACTATATTTTACAGCTTCGTATTGAAGTAAATCTTAATTCCTTTGAAAATATTCACAATATTTTTGATTTAATGGAGTGGCTAACTCTGGTTTTAATTAGATTTCTAGACGTCAACATACTAACGCTTCTCAGGGTACTTTACTTGTTTTCGTGGGCCTGGAAATACGAGTACCGCTCGTGCGAGTATTCGTGTGGTAAACAGTTTAATTATCGTTAGGAAATGTTTGGCACTACTGTTACTGATAAATTAAACAAGTTACAAATTTTTGTTTATGAATTGTCAGCGACAGTAAGTGTTGGCTGCCACAATTAATTTACTTCAAATTTCTTTTTAATTAATTTTACCGTTCAACCATGTATCTATATCGGTGTCTGTTTGATGGCCATCGAAATTCAACAAAAAAAACACACCTAACAATTCTTTCTCGATCTTAACGTTAACTTTATATCTAAACATAACTTGGCCTTGCTATAATATTATCATTAAGGTCTTTCGATCACTTATTGCGTAAACTTCCATTTTAAAGAATTTACAGCAATCTTGGCGTTGTCAATGATATCAGTGACTTTCCATATTTCCACCTTGATCTACTCTTACGTCCACACTGAATTTCAACCAATAAATTTCTACTCTTATTCGTGGCTTAGTTATCTCACGAATATTACAGTCTTTTCTCCGATAAATCAATTTAAATTACTTCCCTATTCTCCCATTACGCCTGGACCACATGTCAATTTTCTATCTCCTCGGACTATTTCAATTTATGCCCTGACGGCCATCGATGTTTCCTTTACCAAATCCAGCAGGGTTCTGACTAATCACGAAATATTTCTTCACAATGCTTTGACGGTCATCGATCCTAACCCTACCAAATATGTCATCATTCTGACCAAAATCATTCGCTTACCTTCTATCCGGCTTAACCGGTTCACTTGTTTCATTGTTTTATTTCTTCCTCGATGCGCTCTTGACGTACCGTAACCAAGCATCAAGCGTTTTTGTCCTCTATCAGCAATATCCTATAATATTTATCTCCTTTATTTTTTTTAAAAATTCTTAAATTTCCCAAATCGTACTTAATCCAATTAATATTTTGGAATTTCTGACATACTCTCAATGACTAATTTTCATTTGCGTCATTGCGTAATTCCTACTATTTCGCCAGCTATTTGACATTAAAGTTTTGCTTGAAAATGCCAAAAATCTCTTTTGCGTTGCGTCAATATCAATATACAATATCGCCAATGCCGAACAACTTTCGAAATAGAAAAGACACATTTTATAAGCAATCTTTCACCTAACGTAAGGAAATTTTTAAAGCAGTTGTTCTTTCTAGTTGTGAGTTTCATTTCGGGGTAAAAAAGCAAATTTAAACATACGATTTCTAATTGCTAATTGCACAGTGTATTCATTCAATTTCTTAAACATCTCATAATTTTTTTGTTTTATTTCAAAAGTAGATAAACTATATAACGTAACCGCCCCACAGGGAAATAAAACAATTATGATTACTGCAAATAGTTTCGAATTGTGAAGTAGTAAATGTGTATGACATTGTCTCCAAAAGAAGGAAAACATAAGCAATATTTCTTCAGCTTTGCATTCCTTATTTCACTCCTCTCCGATAAAAAACAACCAAATTTATAACTACACCTACAGTGCCTGTGAATCTTAAACCACTCCGACACCAAACCGATAAAATGACCGAACAAAAGGCAACGTCAAGGAAGTCGCGTGCCAAGCATCTTAGCTAGAAGCTTCTGTGCGTTGGTGACACAGGTGGTGGCGGGCCAACCCACCGCCCTCTCCCAGCGGCTGCTTCAGTTTCGCCCCGCCCCAGGAGGGCCGGCGCCACCGCCGTCGGACGTGTGGTACCACGTGGCCAGCTCCCTCCCCGCCTCCCACGGCTTTCTGTCTCTCGTCGACCGCCCGCAGCAGAAGGTAAGTGGTAAGGCCCATTCACGATGCAAACATAAACATAAGCATGTCGTGTACATAAAAGTTACGACAAACGTCCATAAGCGGACTCGTTAACAATGCGTACGCATAAGCATAACACGTAAGACGTTAACTTAAAAGCTTGCAAGCTTCTGTGCTTATGCTTAACTAAGACGTAATAAATTAACCAATCACAGTACAGTAACTCAAAATCGAGAATCGAAATAAGAGAGAAGTCAGACGAACTAATGCCATATGAGCCATGGACACACTCGAAACCACGAAATCGATTCTCATATCCAACCAATAGTAAACTAGAATGTCTCTCAGCCAATAGAAACACTTATTTTGCTTACGTTTATGTTAGACATTGTGAATCCTTCATGTATGTTAATGTTTACGTCTGTGTTATGCTTATGTTTACGTTTGCATTGTGAATGAGCCTTAACTATGTGCGCGTAATGTCCGGGCCAACAGGGCCCAGGAAAAAGAGGGCCCGTTTTTTTAAAAACTTATTTAAGGTAGTAACACTACTTGTGATTGCTATACACTTTTATAAAGGGGGCCCGGATAAATGTTTTGCGGGCGGGCCGCACTCATTTCATTACGCTACTGTACGTGCATCTTTCTTTACTCTGTGTCATAAGGTCGTTGAATCGGCGATTGAAATTATGAGTTATGCAAAACTCGGTGAAATCGTTTTCAAACAGAAAGTTAATTTAAGGAACTGCCGGAGATTATAATTATTTACACGATGTATCTTGTAATTTCATGCCTTGCAACTGTTTTAAAAAGATGAGGCAAATATTTTTGGGGCAGAAAATGTTTACTTGGCACTTTTCTAGCGCTGGAGTACTACTTATTGACATGATTTGATATTAATAGGCGTGCGTAGCTTAAAACCAGCGGAGATGCCAATTACATTTGAGTTCACTTTTACATTAAATTTTATTTACATATGAAGATTTTTCTAGAAAATAAATAAAATATACTTTAATGATAAAAAAGAATAATAAAAATAAGATAATAATAAAAACAATGAAATTATAACTTCAATTATAACTTTACAGCCCACTCAGAAGGTCGAGGTGGCTAAGAGCATTCTAACTTTTTGATATATTACTTCCTAATTTGTACTTATTTAAGGAAACTGAGTAAGAAAATCATATAATGTGTTCAGTGCAAAATCGTTTTAAAAAAAAGTTTTTCTATTGAAAGTATTCGAACTTATCTTGATTTGTGTAATTTCTCTAAAACTTACACACTTCTAACAATGACAATTCTCGATCAGGAAACCCATTACCTTTTTAAAGTGTGTAAAGAATGTAAATTGAATTAATGCATCACTCATCAACATTAATCATTGATACTCTTTTAAATTATTATTAGGTATTAAAATATCAAAGGTGGAGAGAAATAAAAAGTTATTAGAATTTAAGAAAATCGCAGTATATTTAGATATCAAAGATCAAAGTGGTATAAATAATTGTTATTAAACTTTCTGAAAGTTTCATTACACCACAAAACCAATAAATAAACCTAATGTTAATAAGCTTAATTCGTGAAGTTTCAATTGATCTTATCCACAGCTGTAATTATCAGATATTATTAAAACAAAGAAACGTAGCGAAACTTTCTAGGAATTCATGACATTTTCTTTTTCCTTTTTTTTTCGAAAAGATTGCTGGTCAATAAAGAAAATAAATTTAAAGAAGTTAACAATGTATTATTAAAATGTTTCATCCCGATGGGCTAAGGTAACTTACGGAAACACAAGTGGTATATTTGCTTCGCTCTGAATGTAGGATGATTGTAGAACTCTGACGCAAGTTCAATAATTACACATTTCAAAAAAAATAAGAGAAAAAGCGACAAAAATGTACAGTACGGAAAAATAAGTGTTATAGACAATATGTTTAAACTCGAGAGGGTAGGCTTCCGCGGCCGGAGTCAGTATTTCATTGCCTGCCCGGGTGACTCCGTGTCCATGGCAAAGGTACTGACGTTTCGGTCGCCATTCTGCGACCTTCTGCGACCTAAGGTCGCAAAATGGCGACCGAAACGTCGGCACCTTTGCTATGGACATGGCGTCGCCCGGACAACCAATTACATATGTTTAAACTCCATTGAAAGCTTGTGGATTGAGCAGGAAGAAACACATTTGTTAAGAAATTAGAATGATAGGATCAACATAATATGAGGAGGTATTTAATGAAAAGAGATCCTACTCCTGATTCGTGTGTGTGCCGCGCAGGTGTGGCGCTTCTCGCAGGCGGACGTGGACGCGCAGCGGGTGCTGCTGGTGCCGCCGGAGTCTGCGCCCGCGCAGCCGCTCGCGCTGCAGCTGCGCGCCACGCTGGGGCCTTCAGGGGCGGAGGCGGCGCCGCCGCGCACGCTGCGCGTCCGAGTGCGCGAGCCGGCAGCCGCGCCGCCCGCCTTCCGCCAGCCGAACCCCGTGCTGCGGTTGGATCAGGTGCGCCTCCCACACACACACAAACGCCGCCCGACAAATCCATCTCATTCCTTCACTAGCATTCATTTATTGCTAGTGTTGTCGCTGATTTTGAACGATGCATTTGGTTCCTTCAAAAATCCTTCAAAGGGCTCCTTCAAATTCAAAGTTCCTTCAAAAATTCCTTCGAAGGGCTTATTTGCCCTTCTCTCTGCATTTGTTCATCGCAATCGGTATTCGTAATATAAGTAGTTGCATTGACGTAAAAATATGTTTGTTTGTTTTATTGATGGTAACCTGCATTGATGTTTTACGATGCAACAGCACTCAGAATAGAATGCACTTGAAAAATTATTTTGCTGAGCCCATTGCACTGACTTCATTAAAATTGCGAAAAAATAAGAGTAATTTAAGGATACTCATAAATCAAGATGCGATACTTACAACATTGTGATTATCTCTCACATGCAGTAACAAGTGTTTTTATTTATTCCTAGGTGACCAAACTCGACATTGGAAAGCAGTATTTTGAGATTGAAGGGATTGATGATGATGATCCCAACTTAATATTTGTAGTTACAGAAGCACCTGTAAGTGGCTCACTTTTATTTGTACATGACAGAAAATCTGCGGTTAATCTTCATGGAGGTATACAATAATTTACGAATTTAATCTGAAGTTTTGTAAACTGAACTGTTACCATTGCCTCATTAACTTCTTTTCAGGACAGGAATTTTATCTCAGAGACTTTTATAATGGATCAGTGCAGTACAGATATCATGGTGACAAAAGCAAGATGAAAGATTCTTTTGAAGTTCTTGCAACTGATGGGAATTTCGAGATATCAAATCATTTTACTGTGGAAGTTTTCTCCAAACAAAACAAAAATGATGTTAGAAGAGAGAAAATATCAGTAAATCCGCTAGTCTCTTCCGTTCAGTTTGCAAGCGAGTCAGAATCCATTTTGGTGTTCGAAAATACCACATTGGTTCGAGTGCCAGTGCACCGAACAGGCGATGTAAGTCAAGAAGGGTTTGTAGGATGCTTCACAAGTACGGAAAATAAAGGATTTTCGTCGGCCACACCCGGGCAAGACTTTGAACCAAGAGCACGTGGTGCAAACAGTTCACTGTTAATATTCCATTCAGGAATAAAAACTGTTTATTGTGAAATTATTATCATTGATGATGACGTATATGAAAACGAAGAAGAATTTTCTCTCAATCTGGAGTTAGTTCCAGGAAACATTATTTCATCTTTGCTGAATAGGACACAACTCAGAATAACGATTTCAGACCTTGACGACAAGCCAACTATTCAGTTTGATCGAGAATATTTTACAGTTTCAGATAATATTTACAGATTTAATCCTGGCATCGCCACATCTATTACAATAAATGTAAGTTATAGATATAATAAAATAAATATATAATTTTTTTTCTTCAAATTTTCAAAATTCTGCATGTAAATTAATATTGATGTTCTTTTGGAAAGTGATCAAGAGATCTTTTTGTCTAGGTACTGAGAACTGGAGATTCTTCTTTACAAAGCCGGGTACACATAAGCACACAAGATGGTAGTGCCGTAAAAGGCCTAGATTATGAACAATTCTCAACATCCCTATTGTTTAGTCCTGGAGATACATTGCGTGCCATTAATATTTCAGTTCTTCAAGGGCAAAGACACAATCGACAACGAAGACACGATCGTGCTTTTTATGTGGTCATTAATCCACACGACATATTGGGGGCGGTGCTAGGAGAGGCATCCACCGTTACAGTTTTCATTGCGCCTCCCGACGAAGGACAAAGGTTGAAACTGTTTCCATCCGAACCTATAATTTTATCCTTTAAAAATGGAGATATTAGCAACTTTACTAATGTAGTATCTCCTGGATATCCGTTGGTTTGTATTAGCTCTTGTAATAAACTTCACCCTCTTTTTAATACGACTAGTAAACTGTGCCATCTGACAGGTATTGAAGATTCAAATAACACTTACTTTTCATGGGAGATTGCTCCTCCTTACAAGGGAACAGTTAGTCGTGTAACAACACATCTCCCTTTCAAAGAACTTTTTGAATCTACAGTATTTGCTGATGTACATTCTAAAATATTAGACCCTTCGTTTTTTGGCGAAAATTATAAAGTTCGTTGTGCTACAACTCCTGTAGAAGGTAACGGCCTTCCACCATTGGGGATACCAATCAAAAGCCAAGAAATACTTATCGGAGGAAAAAATGTTAGTAGGTGCCCCATACGTTCAACAGAACTAGAACTATTTAATGGTGAACATATTGATGATAGCTCAGTATTTACTACAACAATGAAATATGTAAGTTCATCGGAGAGAAATTCAGATCGTAGAAACAAAATTCATATTAAAGTGGAAGTCCCTCATAATGATGGAATGCTACCATTGATATCTACATCGCCGTTATCAAACATCCATTCACTACTCTCATCAAGGCACCATAGTAGTGAGCACACATGTTCCAATTTGCCTCCATCAGGGGTCTTCTTGAATACAGTCTCTGATAAGTGAGCGTACATTTTATTATAACTCAATTTATACATGTTTTTACTATTTCGTTTTCATCTAAATATTTGTGACTTTTTGCAGTATTGTGAATAGTTCTCTACTGTATTCTTCGGAAGGAAATGTAACAAATCTCCTGTACAGGCATTTAAATTATACTTCGTGTAAATGGACGTTCGAAGGATGGTTTTATTTAAGTCAATTAATAGAGAACTGTCATGGAAAAATTTCTTCTCAACATCAGGTGAATATTATCACTGAATAAAACATAATTTAATGAAATTATTGTAATAGAAATTCCTTTAATACAAATTCCTTCATTTAATAATTTTTATATCTACTTTTAGAACTGCACTAACACAGTCGAAAAGATGCTTATGATTGCTATTATACGCTATGTAGGATACAAGACACGATCAGAGCTGGGTGAGTGTACAAGTCCCTCTGTACATTGTATTGCACCATGCAAACGGACCCGCTGAATTACATCACACTCGACTACTTGTGTCATTCCATTACTCAACATCTTTGGGTCACAGTTTACAGCAAGACTATAAACAGTCCGACGCAGACATTCAGGTAAGAAACGTGAAATTTTCTTGCATTGCAAGGATTCCTGTGATAGTATCAACAATCTTTATTTTTACAGAAGTTGTAAATACCATGGGTTTGCATTATTTATATGTATGATGTACAAATTAAAGTATTTCGTTTAAAATTTGGACTGTACAGTAAAATAACTCTAGTTGTCACAATTAAGATCATTTTTATAGTTTCATTAAATTTATTGGCCTAAAGTACTAAATTGTTGTATGCAACTCAATGGGTGATTTGCATGCCTGTTTCTGAATAGATGCCTTGCCTACAGTGACCCACTTTTAATTTGTAATATTTTATTGATTTTTTCCAAACCACGATTTTGATTCAATCATGGCCAAGTGAACATTGCAAAATTGTATTAAGATACTCGACTCGGTAATGCCCATTTGGTCGGCATTTGGCATTCGACCCCTGAACATGATTTGGTAACTTTTAATAAATAGTCCGCAAAAGTACCTAATCATATTACATTATTATACTGCAAATATTAATAACACGCTTTCAATTTATTCTTTAAAAATAAATGGAGGGAAAAATAAATTATCTTGTTCTATACTCCTCAACGCTAGGATGGAATATTTTGAGAGACAATAAAGTGATTTTCGATTATTAATATTTGTTTTTTCTTGTCTAATTTGAAATATAAAAGGCAATCCTGGTATATACCCCACCAATTTCATGATGCATCAAGGAAATATATAGTTCGCAGCACACTCTGCCTCCAGATTTGGGAAAAAATCGATATAGCTTGACATCGATTAGCATGCGATGCACATGTCCTGCTAAATCCGCCTGATTACCGATCTTCGCCACTAGAGTTCCATTTCGAGTTGGCTTCTGCGCATAGGCTCAAAAAAGTGCAATCGATTGCTGTACTCTATGCCGTACTTGAGCACATGGTGAAAAGATGTAGGCGAGTTACTCCGGCGCACCGATTTTTGCTCGTTCTGCACCAGTTTGCATCACGAATTACGTAACCACAGCACGCCATGTTGCTTAATATGCGAGAAGTATTAAGGAACATTTTGAAAGTATTATAAAATGACAATTTTCAACGGTAAACGTGGACCAACCAAAAGTAACCCAATGGAGGTATACAAGAGGCAATATTTAAAAGAAATGCTTCATTTTTCTGTTTCAATGACTTGAATCAAGATGATAATTTTGATACCCGACAGCAGTGAAATTCTCGCTATTGTGACGCAAACTTGTGCCCGAAGTTCGATACGCAATAGCACACCCACGCCTTTCCATGTTTGAACTTCCCATCTGTGTTTGGAAACATTTTGATGCGATGCGATGATACGATGCGTTGATGCGATAATGTGTTAATGCGATGATGTGACGTGATGACATGATGTGACGTGATGACATGATGTGACGTGATGACATGATGTGACGTGA